GAAACGATAGCTATATGTATTTTGATCATGCTTATTGCCTTGTTGAATTCATAGGAGGCAGTCACGGCGTGTGCGTAAGAGAAAAATTTCAGTTTAAAATCTCTCTTTTCCTTTTTCTGAGAGGAAACACTGTATTTCCACTTCTAAACTGGGTCCTACATCTTTTCATAGATCGTCCAACAATAATCTCCTCGCAAGAACTATATACAGTAAACGAGACTAGAAATGTTTCCATGTTGTGTCGGGCAGATGGCTTGCCAAAACCTAAAATTGTTTGGAAAAAGAAAGGCACTAGTGAGGTTCTCGAAATTGGTGAACAGTTTCATGTCCTCAATGCCCAGGACATTCATAATGGTTTGTATTGTTGTACTGCAAGCAATTACCTTGGGCAGCACACAAACGAGGTCACGTTGAATGTTCAAAGTAAGTGAAATGTGTGGTAAACTGATCTAAAAGGTAAATTGCTCTGAATAGAAGCAACAATAGAAAGAACTTACAGATACTAACGAGGTGCTGCTATCACCTGAAATATGCAGCCATATGTTGGCAAAGAGCAAAGTTTAAATGTCTTTTTAAATACCACATTATAACAAAGCCATCAGATACTCCAAACTTTGGCTGTATCCCTTAACCTCCTTCTCCAAGCGATCTCCACTCAAGGCAAACGATAGCAGGTCTCATTCATTTCCGGTTGACGTTATGGTTATGACAGACATATATTTTACAGTCATGCGTCTATCCACACAAACCACTTTACTCATCAAGCTTGGGAGAAAACAATATATTTTAAGCCCTGCTTTTCAGCTTGGTTTTAAAATACGTATTAGAAAAACAACCAACGATGTTGATTTTGTTACAGCGCGCCCATAGATCAAGGTATTCGGCTCCACAGTCACAGTGATACCTGGTAATAAAGGGGACAATGTGACCTTGATTTGGACTTTCAGTGGCAACCCGCGTCCTCGAGCATGATGGAAAAGACAACTTAATGGAATGGATCTGAGTGTAAAAAATGATTCTTAAGTGCAAAATATCTCTCAGATGAACGACACTTCTACCATGAAAGTGACAGTCAACAACACGGGTGAATATTTCCATTGTGTGGCCTCAAACCCTCTTGGAAGCGACAACTTGAGATATACGATACGAAGAAGAGGTAAGTGAAAATAAAATCTCTGCATGCTCAGTTTTAATAGTAAATACTTTCTTATCGTTGTTCTTATAGCTAAGCGTGTGAACGGGTCTGCGTTCTCATTTTTTTGAAAAAGTTGTGTATCACAGCGGAATCTACCATAGTAATCAAGAAATCTAAGACCAACAAAATATCTTCTTGCAGCATGGTCAAGGACAAGTGGTTAGTGAAATGACGAGTGAATGGCGAAAATCTGATAGCTTTCAAAACATCACTGGCTCCCATAAATCACCCCGCATACACCCTTACACGATTTCCCATGATCAAAGTAATGAACTTTCACTGCAAGAAAAATGATCGTACGTAGGGTCTTTCACGGGAAAATGGACGCGTTGTAGTTTCCAGAGCTTTGAAGTATTTCGCTGGTCTGTTCTTGAGAAATTCCTCTGTTCGAGAAAGGTCAACATAGGTGGACTAAAGCTGTATATTGCTGTGGGTTAGGGATCAATAATCAATAATAAAAATTTTGTCTGATAGGTGTCCCTGATCCTCCACGCGATGTGAAACTCCTGGCTTTTAAAGTAGCTGGGGCTAAAACTGTGAATGTGAACGTGACTTGGACACCTGGATACAGTGGAGGATATGAACAAACATTTACAATTTATTTTCGTGTGAAAGGAAGCGACAGTGACTTTGAGGAGCAATATGTTGGACGCTCAGAAAACCACATGTACACCATACGAGGACTTAACCCTAAGACCGACTATGAATTTACTGTTCAGGCTTCAAATATAGATGGCAAAAGTCAAAAATCAACCATAGTTAACGTTGTGACGCCAGGTAACCTTGTGCATGGCAAATTGTCATTTTGGATATCTGCCTTAGATCTATTTTAATATATTTTCTTAGCACTTTTTCAGAATCCTCCATACCAGCTAAGAGAGGAATAGGTATGTTCATTGCTTGAGGCTGTGGTCTGTGTTGCCGACTAATTAAGACAAGAGTTATTGATTCAGTGAAAATCACTTCTTGAATGATTTAGCGGCTTGAAAATTTTCCAAAGATGGCCATCCCCTCACCCCTTACAACAGATTTCCAGGTCGTAACTGTACATTTACGCGGTCTTAACGATGAGATAAAAATGTAATATCTAGATTTGATATCACTTCTGAGAAGGAGAAGCATCTAAAGTGATAGCAAATAACCAGTAGTTATGCAATGGGGATTCTGGCTCATTTTTGAGACAATCTTGATTGTAAACGTAACTCATGAAGACAACCTCGAAATCAAGGTTGCCTTCATGTCAACCTTGATTTCAAAGCAAAGTTGTAGCTCATTTTTTTAAAAATCCTTAATTTTCAAGGCAACTCATGCAGACAACCTTGAAATCAAAGGTTCTGGGAAATTTTGAATTTAACAAGTACACTGTATGAAATTCGAAGTTATGCCTTTGCTCGTGACGCCTGAATTTCACTTCATCACTTCTGAAATTCAACGTCTTTGCGCACACAAGGACGATTTATGGTTTCATAAAACAGGATCGACACTTATATTGCATCTTCCTTTGAAGAATGCGTGGTATGCCTTGATTTTTTCTTCTGTAAAAACAGCACTATTGTAACTGAAAAGAATTTGACGATCTGAGTTAAATCCCTTATGAAAATTACCACTATCTGGTTTTTTGACTTTTCCCCATACATGACAGATTTTCACTTTGGATGTCTACCTTATATTTAATTTTAATACATTTTATTGCTCTTTTTTAGAATCCTCAATACCCATACCAGCTAAAAGAGGAAAAGGTATGTGCATTTCCCCCGTTCTGCAGTCTGTGTTAGACTCATTGGTTCAGTGACAATAACTTCTTGAATAGTTTTGCGGCTTAAAAACATTCGAAATAAGAATATCCCTTCGCCCCGTTGAACAGATTTCCAGGTTATAATTGTAAACGTACGTGGTCTATGGGATTTGCTACACATCTGATCCTCATCAGAGGATGAGGTAAAATATGTAATATTTAGATTTGATATCACTTCTGCTGAGCATCTATCGTATAGCAAATAACTAAAGCTTTTACTTATTTCATGCTAGTCAAAGGTGACTTAATATAAGGCAAATATGGCCTACATAATAAAAATTGTGACAGGAATCAAAGGTTTAGTTAAATATCATAGGACTTTGCATTACTTTTAATCCCTGTCATGTCTGTGTCAATTATTTAGCCGTAGCTCTGACTTAACAGTTGATGTAGCCAAAAGAGTGGTCAACAGACTGCCTTTGTGTGTATAAATAAGTGATATACTTCTTCTTGAGGTTTTTAGTGGGCACCTAAGAATCTTGGTAACGAACTAATGTAAACGGCCTGCTCTCAGTTGGCTTGTTAGCTCAATTGGTTAGAGCGCTGCACTAGTATCGCAGAGGTCAGTGGTTCGAGTCCCGTACAGGCCTGATTTTTTTCAGGTCTGAATTTCGCTATTGCTCAAATAGCGCTATCTACTGCGAGGATCGTCCATCATACGAACTAATGTATACAGATGAGTTACTGCAAATCTACATTTCTTGTGTGATTTTCAGTCATTTTATTTTACAGTCAATGCAACAAGAAACCCAGATGACGCCTCTGTAATATTGGTTGAGTGGACAATAGAAGATAAAGAGGTCAGAAAGTTGAACCTTGAAATCCAGCAGGGTGGGGAGGGTGCTTGGAAGCCTGTCTCTAGAGCAAGAAATGTGGATACGTCTCTAAAACACTTCACAGTGACAGGTCTCAGGGTCGAGGAGATATACAGATTCAGAATGGACATGAGAAGGCCAAGGGAGCAGAATCCTGTGTATGTGTATAGTGACGTAGGTACGAGCAGAGTTTTCTTTATCTGATATCAAGATAGGATAAAATGGTATTATATTAAATATTGACTTCTAGCCACTAGTACATTAAAGTAAAGACATAGGATAGCCCACGATCATACCCCAAAAACTGCACGGTTGAAAGCTGTTAGACTTAAAACAGGTCAAAATAAACCGAACAGACTGTCACCTCCTGATAAACGAAAATGAGTTTGAAATGATTTAACTTTTAAATTTCCTGCGTCACCACTTTGAAATGTTTGGTACTATTGCCTTTGGAAAAACGCATGACGGTAAGTATCTTTCTTAGCTAACTACGGTGGAAATGTTGTGATCAAAAGTTACTGATGGTGATGAAGATACCAGTCATAATAATAATAATGATCCATCAAATGTTTTTTGCTTGCGCATGATTGGTCTAGACGCATGACAGGAATAAATATTCCCCAGCGCAAACAGGGGATATCCGCGGATATCACTGGAATGATATTTCCCAAATTTCAAACCTTACGTCCACTGCGAGAAGTCTTCCTTTACAATTTTATTAAAATGAGAAAACGTTGTGTGGGTTTTACTTAATACATCTTTAATCTTCAAAAAGCCGTGCGTTGATTTAGAAGCAAACACTTCCAATACTCAGAAAAGTGAGTATTACGAAGCCTAGTTGGCCAATCTTGACCTATTGTTCTCTAATTAAGGGCTCTTCTAAGCGAGGTCGCCTTCAAATTCGCATGTGAATAATTGATGATGTCCACCCATGCAGAAGAAGGGAAATTTTATGTTTGATTTAAAAACTGTAACAGAGAACACTCGAAATAAAATATCCCACGCAGCAAACAGTACACTGTTCGTAAATATTTTTTTTACGCGGGTTGCAAAATATTCAAAGGATTATAAACACAATGGCCTCTATTCTACGCGAAAATGTACTCGCATATTTTTCCTTGGACGTTATCTGTTTCTCGAAGCTCACAGTTTTCCTCGAGCTTCAGTCTTGGAAAACTGTTCTTATCTTGGAACAGCCATCACAGATCATGCAACAGCAAGTTTTTCCGACGATTAAGACAACAAAACAATCTTTTCTTCCTGTCAGAAAATAAACCTTTCTTGTCTTAAATCTGTGCTGAGTTTACATAATCATTCCCTTTTCTCTTTCAGTGCCAGCCGGTCATATTAACCCCATACCTGAGAAGAGGGAAAAAAAAGCGTTCCTCTTTCCAACGTGGATGATTTCTGTCATTGCTGGTAGTTCAGGAGCATTACTTCTTCTCCTTTTTGTTCTTTGCCTCTGTCGACGTAGGCGTCGTCGCAAGACAGTTGATGAAGGCAAGTAACTGCAAACAGTCTCTTTTTCAACCAGTACTAAATGCATTCTACTCTTGAGATACAAAAGAGTTAAACTTCGATAGGTAGCTTTATGATTTGAACCAAGCGTTCAAAGTAGGGATTCTAAACTTACAAACTTGAGAAAAACCTTTACTGAGTTTCCGTTTAATGTTGGAAAAAGGTCAAGAAATTGGTTCCTGAACATTACAATTTATCATTTGATTTGATAGTGTATGTTGTGTTGTAGCTCTTTCGTATGTGAGCCCTTCGTTATCTCTTTATTGCTGGAAGTTTAAGTGAAAAATGAAGAGTTTTAACGTTTTCCCTAATTTTGTTGTCACAGTCCATTTCAGCAAAGTTCAATAGCCCATTTCCGAGTTACCCTTGGCCTCTTTTTCAAAACGAGGCCTTTTGCTCAACAATTATTGTGAAAATTAGTTTAGTTTGCATGTGAATGAAAACTTATTATCATATGAAAGGATGAGCACCAGGACTCGTTTTGAAAATGAGGCCAAGGGCAATTCAGAAATGGGCTATTCATAGCCCAGAATTCAATAGATTTGATACTTATTATTCATCACTGTTCCTTATTCTATATTTTTTCTTATTTCCTTTTACAGTTGGACAAGGGAAGAAGAATGCACCGTCAAGGTAAAAAAAAAAAAAAAAAAAAAAAAAAAAAAAACCTTATCGTATTACTCAGTACTTCAGAGTTTGTTCAAAGAGTATAGCATCAGTCAGAACGACAGGTTTGATATCTGAATATCTCCCATCTCAGTAAAATTATTTGTATCGTGTCGTCACAAAAGTTATGAACACGGTAATGATAGGTGTATCTTTAACAGACTGCGAAATCCGTCTGCTCTTGTGGATAAAAACGTATGTGTGAAGAAGCCTTACGATACCTAATAAGCGTCCAACCTTTTGTTTTGTTTTGTTTTTTTTCGAATTTCTGGGATCAAGGTCATTTAGACAGCTCCCAAAGATGATAAACATATGACGTCTCCCATACATATAATCTAATAACTAGGTAATGAAGATACTCAGTTATTTGAAACGGAAAAGTCTGTCTGTATGTTTTTTATTGCTTAATTGGTAATGTATGTACGCCTTTTGAAAACTATTTTACAAGGACAAATCACAGTTTTAACACGAGGAACAGATTTTTATCAATTGAACTTCCGGAAATGAAACTGGAGTTTGGTCGACAAAGTTTTTTTTTTAGGTGCTCTTATTTACAATAATTTACCGTTAGAGATGCGGAAACTGAACTCCCTAGTCTTACTTAGGCAAAAAGTCAACGAAGATTTTTTTATTTGTAGTTTTTAATGGTTCCGCTTTTACATTTTACATTTTATCACTCGTACATTTTACATTTTTTACTTTTTTAGTATTTACACGACCCCTTTGATAATAGTACTTATTTGTACTGATAGGTTTATCTTGTTTAAATATTGATTTATTATCATTATTACTGTTATCATTAATATTATTATTATTATTATTATTATTATTATTATTATCAATTATCAGGTAGAAGCTGTTATCTTGATCTCCACCAACCTCTCGCAGCTAATTTGCAAGATGTCTAGTAGCTGGAGGGGAGAATTAATAATCGGACCTCGGTTTAATAATAATAATAATAATAATAATAATAATAATAATGATAATAATAATAATAATAATTTCAATACTAATAATGATAATAAAAAGCTTTTTGGGCGCATTTAGAAAACTCGATGCGCTTACATTACTATATAGAAAAGTACTAATAAATTAGTAGATATCTATAAAATGTTTCTCAAAACAGTAATAAGTAAAATAAATAAAGTAATTAATTGAGAATTAGACGCTATGAAAGCTAGGTACAGTTCCTCATGAAATAATGTGGCCACCGTAAAGAGTTAAGAAGCTTACGTTTCAAGCGTTAGTCAGAGCAAAGAACTCTGTACGGTGTCCAATTCACATCATCATCTTTTACTCAGCTATGTAGTCGGCGGTCCAGATGTGGTTCCTACAGTGAGTAGGAGAGGCTCGTGTGGGGGCCAGGAATCTATAGAAGACGATCCGTTTGTAGTCGCTGCATCCATGCAGGCCTTGGATTCAACGGATAGAAAAAAGAAAAAACTTGATGCCTCTATCAATCATGGATACCAGCCTGAAGGTATGGAAACAGCTGCCACTATATGAACCTAAACAGATGTTTTCGTGTGTGGTATCGCAAAGTATATTAATGAGTTGTGCCGCATTTTGACGAGCCCGAACGGCTCGTAAGTTATTCATTATCCAACTGCTTTAATTTTATATGCATTTATTATAAGGCGGAAAAAGCGAA